TTTAATTAAAAACCGTACCCTAAACCGACACAGGTGGATAGGTCGAGTAGACTAAGGTGAATGAGAGAACTATATTGAAGGAACTACTACTTGGTTATTTTTTTCTGCTTCGAAGATCTGAATATCTGTATATTGGACACCAACATCATGCCTACGTGCTGAAGCTAAGTGATATCACATTTCACAGCGCCGAAGGGCAGCATTGTAAGCCGCGACACGCTGAACGCGTCGGAATTCGACTCCTCGGAGCCAAGAACAATCAGTATGGCCGTGAAGAGGTCAGATTCCATGAAAAGTCCGGGGATACCAGTATCTGCCCGGTAGTAGCGGCTCGGTGGATTCGCAAAGGTGCCAGAGCGTTCGGGACGTCACCAGAGCAGCCGGCGTTGTCGACCGGTGTCGGCACGGGTATTTCGGCAAAAAAATTGCAAGTACAATCAAGACGGCAGCTCGTCAATGCGGTGCAAACCCTGATCGATACTCAACCCACTCGGTTCGAATTGGGGGCGCGACAGCGCTTCTGAATGCTGGTTCAGACCGCCTCGCCATAAAAGTCATGGGTCGGTGGTTGTCAAGTGCGTTTGAAGAATATCCGGTTCTTTCTGCTCAAGGATCAGCTGGGTTATCGAAACTAATGTGCTAAGTGGGGTGATTGTCGTTCGGTGCTCGACAAAGGTTCGCCCGTGAGTGAGCAGCACCGGTTTGAGATTGGGGTGCCGCCACTCCTTACCCGCGGACGAAGAAAAATATATATATTTTCCCCACTCGCACACGATTGTTGGAAATGGTCAGTTTTGCAACGGACTGAGGCTCGAAGAGTCAAAGGACAACTGCTAAATGTCGGTTTCCCGATCGCGGTAGAGGTAGAGAGAATAGCTGAGCTCATTTCGAAACCTCATAGATAGCGCGCAACCCGCCACTCCTCACCCGCGACGAAGAAAAATATGTATATTTCTCCCACTCGCACACGATTGTTAGAAAGCCACTTGGTCACGTCCCCAATGGCACTTCTTCATTTGTAACATGAACCCTGCCGCTCGGAAACGTTCCAGAACCTGGCGTACTCGAATCAAATGGGTCGGAAAGTCGTCACTGAAGACAACACAGTCGTCTAAGTAGACGAGACACGTCCTCCACTTGAGATCAACGAGAACGTTCTCCATCAGACGCTCGAATGCAGGCACGGCGTTACACAAGCCAAACGGCATAACCAACCACTCGTAGAGGCCGAATTTGCTCGTGAAAGCCGTCTTCTCCACGCTGTCGAGATCCATTGGAACGTTCCAATATCCCGAAGCGATGTCCATAGGGGAGAAAAGCTTCGCCTTTCGCAGAATCGCAAGGATGTGGTCTTGGAAAGGTACCTTCACACTGTCGCGCTGAAAATGTGTGGGTCGCTAAGCCCTTGTCGAGCCTCCTTCCGAAGGACGTCGACTGGCGCTGGGAACAAGAGCACCAGGATGCTTTTGACAGCATCAAGGCCAGTCTCTAAGAGGCCCCTGTCCTGGCTCTGCCGGACTGGACGAAGCCATTTAGCGTCGTCTGCGATGCCTCCGACTACGCCATCGGGTGTGCATTGCTGCAGGACGACACGGCTGGACAGGAACGAGTCATCTCGCTCCAGTCCCGGCAGCTCAAAGCCGCCGAGCGGAACTACCCTGTCCATGACAAGGAGCTCCTGGCAATGAAATATGCCCTTGTGAAGTTCCGTGTTCACCTTCTGGGCTCTAGGCCCTTTGTGATCTACACAGACCACGCGTCCTTGAGGACGGCGACTAACTCGCCTCACCTCTCCCAAAGGATGGCGAGGTGGCTGTCCTTCTTCGCGGAATACAACTTCCGCGTCGAATACAAGCCGGGCAAGCTCAACGTGCGTGCGGACGCCCTCTCTCGGCGTCCCGACTATGAGTTGGCCCACATCACGCGGGTGACAACGGATCTATATGATCGGATACGCATGGCGTATCGGGACGATGAGGCTGTCGCGCCTATCGTCAAGTTTCTTAAGGCCGGAACGAGCGCGAAGTCCGACTGGCTCTCGTCGCGACAGCACTCACGGCTCCACCGATATGAGTTGAAGGATGGCCTCCTCTATTACCGGGTGGAGCCCAGTGAACCTCCACGGGTGGTCATACCCAACGACGAGGATCTGAAGTTCGATATCCTCGCGGAGGCGCACGACGTGCCCTCCAGCGGCCACTTGGGCCGCGATAAGACCTTTTTGTCGGTCTCTCAGTCCTTCTGGTGGACCCACATGTACAAGTGGGTCGCTCGGTACGTTAAGACATGCGAAACATGTCAGCGGGTCAAACCCGCAGGGCACTCTTCGGCTCCACTCCAGAGCCTGCCCGTACCGGCTGACTGTTGGAAGTCGATGAGTCTTGACTTCATCTTTGGGCTTCCCGCCGACGGACACGGCAACACCAGAATTTTGGTGCTCGTGTGTCGGCTGAGCAAGATGGTACATCTTGCTCCGGTTCCCGTCACTGTTACGGGCGAACAAACCGCAAGGTTGTTCGTTGATGGCGTGTTTCGCTATCACGGTCTCCCGGAGACGATTGTCTCGGACCGAGACCCGCGGTTCACGGCTGCGTTTTGGAAAACGCTGTTCCCTTTGCTGGGAACTCGTCTGCAGATGTCCATGGCGGACCATCCGCAGACAGACGGCCATACAAAGCGCGTCAATCGAA